CTGCTGTGTGAGGAACCAGGAGCTAGGTTAACCTAAAAAGGTCTGAAAGGAACTTTCTATTAAAATAATGCAGTTATAGCTTCATCATATCTTCAAAAGACAGTTTGTATAGATTACAATTTACACAAATTAACTCAATATATCTTATTTTAATGTTAAGATGCATATAAATACAGAAAAGATGAACTTGTTGAAATGAGCATTTAAAAGTTAATGAACCATTTTATTTTCACAAGGAGTCAAAAATCCAACAGAATTATAAAGAAGAAAAAGATACTTTAGCTCAGGTTTGACATGTGGGCATTAAACAAAATGGAAGAAATACTTAAAATATGAAATTCACTCATGATGAATGCTATTTTCCCACAAACGGTCATTATGAGCAGAAATTACTTTGATAGATATGAGTAGTGTGTGCCCTGTTTGACTTCTAATAGGCTCAGTGGGCAATTAGAACAAGTGGAGTCTCTACTCACCAGGAGCTGCTGTGTGACGTAAATCTGCTGCCGGACTTTCATTCAGAGATAAAACTAGTTGGATATTTGTGACATGTCTTATCATTGTTGTTCTACATAGAATTTTAATAGATTTTTAAAAAATCTCACTTAAATCAAATATTGTATTGGTTTGTTCCACGCATGGAAATTAATGCAAAGGAATTTATTTTATTTTATTTTATTTTATTAATTGGTAAAAAGTCTTACACTGTACTGTGATATAATGTGGGAACACATCATTGTTTTTTGCTAAGCCCCTTTCCCATAGAGTTCCATACTTTTATAACTGAACGCCACTTAGCATTAGCTAATAGCATAGACATCCGCTTGTATACTGATGTCATTCACAGAGCTGGCGATCAGGTTTGTGAACGCATAGACTGATGCGGAGCTGGCAGCATTTCTTATGGACAAATACATAAACATAGGAATAAACAGCATGATGCAAGAATGATCAGTGCGGGTGTACTAGCCAAGGGGCAAACTCCAGCTGCCAAAAGTGAAAGCAAAAGTGAAAAAAAAACCTGCAAATCCCTCATCACCCACTAGGAGCTGGTATCAGACAAGAGGAAGTTCACATTGAATCCCATGTTTAAAATGTCAAAACAGCAGAAATACAGATGCTTACAGCCTTGTGCAAAAAACAATTAGGTTGGATGCGTTAATGCATAGTTTACAGTCATGACAACTCTGAGGGGGTGATTTATTACTTTTTCTTTTGAATCTCATCTGTTTGAATGTAATTAAAGCTAGAAATTATGAATAATTAGGAGTATGTCCATTTGATATGGCAGGTGTCCAATAAGGAGCATGTGGTAGGGCTAGCAGCTTCTCACGTTAAAAGTGGTACAGGCTAGAAGGCAGAGGGCAGCAGAGTCATTCATTTTTCTGCCTGAAAGTGCCTGCCAACTGTTGTTAGCTTTGATTAGCTTAGTTAGCTCATAGCTACCTTGGCTCGGAGTTTGTTAGGTTTAATCATCTGCCCTCACCCGCACAACCTCGCTCTTAGCTCCATTTTGTATTTTCTGGGAGTGGTGAGATGGTCCAAGATGGTGTTGGTGGGAACCGCCCCCTAGGTCTCAGTTCAACGCTTCAGAAATCTACGGGTGAAGGCGTAGCGGGTTTGTCCACATTTTCTACAGTCACTGGTTTTAGCTTAGCTGCTAGGCTAAAATTACACATTAACCAAAAAAGAGGCTTTGCTTCCTGAATATAATCATAAAAGTAGGGGAAGAGGCTTAAGGTGAATTACATTTTCTGCCTCTAGATGAAGTCTTGAGATGAAAAAAAAGTCTGGATTTCTGATTTAAAATCATTAAATAGTAACATTTACACGTGTAGTTCAAGTTCAAGATCAATACCTGCATTGTGTGTTTCTTTGTTTTTTGGAGCTTAGTAGCAATTTCTTTACCAGTTCTTCAGCTTAAGCTGTTTTTTTACATTCTTGTTTTTACATCACGAACCAACTTTCCAAAGTTTATTCAGTTTATATTTACACTCCTAGAATTACAGCCATACATTCATTTGACATTGCTATCAATATTTATCACATTTATTGTGCAGAAGTGCAGAATTTCACTGGTCAGGTGTGGAGACAACAGGACTGCAGACCAAGAACTCATAATATTTTGGTTCCAATTACTATTGATTTTACAATTGTTTTGCAGCAGGATGTTGTTTTATTACTAATATATTTAATGTTTAAATCAATGTGAACACTTGCTTTGCTCATTCAAAGGAAGACCATAAAATCAAAGATGTGCTTTTCAAACAGCTGTGGGCATTTTCTGATCCATCTGGTAAATGACCGTGTTGGAAGTTTTGATACGGTTGTTCAAGCGCAAAACATTTAAACAGTTGCTCACGTAAAAGCATCTTTAAGGTAATTTGTTTTGGAGCTTTTTTTTATTTATTTTTTTTTTTACATTGAATGCAAAGAAGGTAAAAGCGGCTGGTCAAAGGTTGGATCTTGGAGGAGACAAACAGAGAGCCATCTGGGAGGTTTATCCCAGCAAAAGAGCATCAAATGCGAGTGGAATTACTGCCAACAGCAATGAAACAGCTGCTGCATTCCACAGCAACGGTGAAAAGGCGCTCAGGAACCTTGGAGATCTGTCGGCCTTCCCGTGTGGGCTTCAGTTTGAGTGATGACGGCCCAACATGATGGAGTAAGGCACTGCAAACCAGACCGTGCACAGTACATTTATAATTAGTAATTGATAACGTAATAAAGACTGTGAAAAGGCTCAGAGTGACTTTTCGCTGTTTGCAGTCACTGTCATGGCAGGCTTGTGTTTTTCCTGCCTGAATGGCAGCTGCTTGGAGATGTGGGTTCATTCCACCAAAATTACTAGCTTTTCTCTCTCCATCTCTCTGCTTTCTGTCAGTTCACTCTTTATCACAAAGCACCTCTACATCTTTTCTCGCTCCACGGAGTGTGTGACACGAAATTGACATGTAGGTTTGGAGGCAACATGGTGCTATTGAGCTGTGATGTAAAGGTAGCTACCAGGCTTCCTAAATACATCCATGCAAGAGCGGGCATGGAGCAGGCCGACCAAACCTCTGGGTTTAGCTCAGCTGTAGGCCTGTTAGATCAAACGGACCACCGCCTGCCTCAGCACCAGCAAAGTCAGGCTCTGGATCTGACGTGTAGGAGGTCATGTGACCATGCAGGATTTGAGACGGCTGAAATGGAAGTCAAAATTTATTAAAGCTGACAATGATTAACCGTGTGGGGTGTTTTCACATCAAACTGTAAATATGGGCTTTCAGAAGGTCCATCAGAGTGACACTATACACAGCGCTGTTATGTAACTGGAAACATTCAGAAAAGATGCTCGGAACATTTAAAAGGGAAAAACACAGGCTTATGGGAGGGTGGCACACATTACTGCTGGACTTTTCAAAGGCTGCCTGCGACCTAACAGCGTGTCTCTCTGAAGTGACAAGGTGCAGGTGGTGGTGGTGGGGTGTTGGTAGTGGGCCTCCAAAGTGAGAAAGCGGAGCGCTCTGGTCAAACAGAAGGGTAAAGAGGGAGGTTTTGCCACGCTCCTTCCTAATGCCCCACGGCACCTCCACCATTAGCATTCACCACTGTGACTTCAGTTCATAAGACTAATGGAGTTGCTACCTGGGGACATTAATTGTGCGTGACACCACTCGCGGGACTTTTGTGCACTCACACTAATATCACTGCGCCTGTCTGACAAAGCGCCCAAAAAGATTACAAACAAGCCCCAAATAACTGCCAGTGTTGTGTTGCTGTTTGACAGAGGAATGTGTGTGTGTGTGTGTGTGTGTGTGCGCGCGCGAGCGCTTCACTTTGAGGTTGTTTTTCAACCTGAGGAGTTAAACATCTTGTTACTGATGTCTGTGTCTATGGCGTCATCAATGCGGGACAAATCTCAGTGACAGTTAGGCCTCACATCAAACTTATGACACGTGCATGACATCATCCAATAAAAATTCAGGACAGAAGAGTGTGTTCAGCCATAAAGGCACAGCAGGCAGAGCAGTTGGACAATATTACACTTTTGTGTCTGTAAATGTTAAGTTGTATCCCATTAGATGGAATCAAGCCTACAGCTACAGAATTATCATATTTTTTGTGATTGTGTGTGTGTGTGTGTGTGTGTGTTTGTGTGTGTGTGTGTGTGTGTGTGTGTGTGTGTGTGTGTGTGTGTGTGTGTTTGTGTGTGTGTGTGTGTGTGTGTGTGTGTGTGTGTGTGTTGTTTTCTTGGGTTTTTTATTCTGTTGCCTTTATCTTTATGCAACAGTCTGCTGAACATTTTGATGAACACTCACACATAAATGGAATCTCAGACTAAATGAATTTAAATTGGTCCGGTGTTAGAAATAAAGTGTTTTGCTTTATGTGATTTGAGCCACTAGATGACAGTGAACAAAACTTAGTACTAAACTTGGAGTTAAGCATCAAATTTCACCAGAATAAAAATTTATTATCCTAACCTTGGTTCTATGTTGAGCAGGCTGCTCTACCATCAAATAAAACATACAGCTGGAGGTGATTTTTGAGGACAAACAAAATGTTTTTGCCTGCATGCATTCTTCAGGTATTTAAAGTTGTGGAGCACTCATTTAATCAATGAATTTGCTGTGGTCTCTGGTATGAATGAATGCCTTGTAAGTCGTACTTGGGGTGTTAATTTTGACAGGAAATTTTAATTTTATTTTAGTCTTAGTCTTTTGGCTAAAAATTAATTTTAGTCAGTCCAATTTTAGTCATTAGATTTATTTTAGTTTTAGTCCCATTTTAGTTGATGAAAATAACAAGTAATTGTAGTTGATAAAAATAAGCAATTTTAGTCAACAAAATACATATGTTTTTTCTAATGAAGTAATTTCCTACTTTTGTATAGAGCACGGAAAAACTGGTAGTGTAATTTAATACACAGGGTCCAAACTCTTAACCACCACTGATCAGATATAGCACACACAGCTAAGAACATAGAATATTTGAATAAAAAAAAACACTTCACATGTTTAACACGTACGTGTTTAATAAAAAAACAAAAAGCACACTGGGAATTACAAAGGTGCTCTTTTTAGCAATTGCACAACAAGCATTTTTCAAACTAGCATGCAGAAATACTCAAAAATAAAAATTCCTCCTTCGAGGGCATGCATTTTCCCAGACACTTCACAATAAAATGGTTAACACCCCAAAATAAGTACAATACAGGACCTGTAAGCTGTCAGTTACGGGTGTCTTTTTGGTATTTAACGCATACAAAAGGCGCACCGGGTTATAAAACGTACTGGTAAAACATCTGTGCGGGCTCAGGACTCGGAACATATCAGTGCAAACCAGACATTGTGAAAATTATAAACAGCCAAAAGCATGCTTCACTTTACTGGTCTAGTCCTGGTTTAGAGCGCACGTGCACTTCCTCATTGAGCAAAAACGAACAACGTGTGTGCATGATTGCGCAAGCGCCGTGAGTGGTTCTTGTACTTTTTGGGTCGCAGCCGCTCGCTGCACCGCTTCAACTGTGCAATCGTGAGCTCGCATGGACTTCTGGCATGTTTGATATTTTGCTCGTCCCTCGTGAGGGTATTGCACTCCGTGCGAGCTCACGATTGCACAGTTGAAGCAGTGCAGCGCGTGGCTGCGACCCAAAAAGTACAAGAACCACTCACGGCGCATGCGCAGTCATGCATCAACACCGCTCGCCCGCTATTTCCCTAACAAGACACGTTGTTCGTTTTTGTTTCTACATGTTTTTTTACTCACAAAGATTGTCAAGAAAGCGTGTTTGTCGTGTTCATGCCAAATTAAACTGATCACAAAACACAGATTTACTTTATTTCGTTTTCCTCATCCAACCCCCATAAATCCCTGTATGTCCTCCTGCAGCACTCCCGAAGGACAACAGGCAAAACAAAAAAGTCTGACGTGTTGTGTAAAAACTGCTGTTTTTAGCATAATTTTTAGGTCCGACGTGTTGCTACCAGATGGACAGTGTGAGCAGTCAGGTCGCATCCGAGAGCTCCGGACATCTCCGAGCAAACATGGAGAAGTTGATTGTTATTATGGTAGGCCTAGCGTCACCTCTAAACAAAGTGGACTCTGATTGGTTATCTTCTCACCTAGTCCTGCCTGTTCAATTTGTTGATTGGTCCTTTTATATGCGTCATGCATCTTTCCTGTCTTCTGATTAGATATTCGTCATCGTGGATTTTCGTCTCATCTTTTATTCATTGACTAAAAGTTTCAATCAATTTCATTACCATCTTTGTCTTTTTCCAAGCTTTTATTTTGAAATTTTGTTTCATTTTTGTCTGTAAATATATATTCGTGACGAAAAAAAAAGACAAAAATATTTTGTCAACAAAATTAACACTGCTTCCCCATCATGAGTCAAGATGGGTGAGTCCATGAATGTTGAGTGTGACGTAGATCGGCCAGGCTTTTCAAATCCTAGTGTCACCGTTTATTTTCTATCAGAAGCTAATGCAGGAGATAGGTAGGAGACTGTTTTCATATTTAGCTCGCATGAAAATCTCAGAATGACAGAAATAATCATCACAAAAAGATTTTTCAGTGTTCCACACCTTTAAAGTCATTTCTGTACATGCGAGAACCTGCAGGGATCCATCCATCCAGTTTCAGCCACTTAGCGGGATTTGGGTCGCAGGGGCAGCAACCTAAACCGAGAGGCCCATACTTCCCTCTCCCCAGCCACTTGGGCCAGCTCCTCCGGGAGAATCCTAAGGCGTTCCCTTGCCAGCCATGAGACACAGTCCCTCCAGCGTGTCCTGGGTCTTTCCTTAGGTCTCCTCCTGGTTGGATGTGATTGGAAAACCTCACCAGGGAGGCGTTCGGGAGGCATCTTGACCAGAGCCACTTCAACTGGCTCCTCTCGACCTGTGGGAGTCACAAAAAAAACAATTCAGTGTGAAGAAATAAATGTCATTATTTTCTTAAGAAAAACTTTTAACACGTATGTTTTAGAATCAAACCGTGTTTGGCTTACGAGTGTGTCTGGGCAGACATCTGTGTAACACCAGGTGTCACCCTAAAATAAATAGTTAATAAAATGTTCTTCATGTAAAGCAAATTGAAATAATGTTTATATAAATAAAACATGTGCATTTATTCTACAACATTAAAACTCATACTTTCGGTATTTTACTTTGCTGTTAATTGATGTTATTTTTAACCCCCTCTTTGTTCTGTGGACTCTCATACTCCAGTCATTCTTCAGAAAATTTTATGTCCTATTTATAATTTCACTTTGGGTTTAACCTGATGGTTTTTTCAAACGTGCTAAACAAATACATTGGATTGCTGTTCAGAGGGAACACAGAGAACGAAGGACCTTCTCTCGTTATGAGACAGAGGTTTCCTAGCAACATGAACAAGAAACAAAGGTGGTTTTATTGTTATGGCTGAAAGTTTTAGTCAAACAATCACATCATTTTTAAAATTTAACCAATTACAGTTCAAATCAATAATTCCAACAAAATTAAGCTCTTCCTAAAACAGAAGCATTAGTTAACGAAGCTGCTTTACTGGATCCTAACTCTACGACAGGGCTGGGGTGATGTCTTCTCATAAAAGCGAACTATGGCAAGCCAAATGAGCATTTATTCTGATATCAGGATATCAGCCAGAATTGTCATGAACATGTAAGCCATTTCTGTCCACTAGTTAACTAGTTAGACATGTTTGTGTCAACTAGTTAAATAGTGACAGCCTAAATGTCAACTAGTTAACTAGTAAGGCCTAAATTCTCTCTAGTTAACTAGTTAAAATGTTTCATATCTTACTAGTTAACTAGTATTGCTCAGTGTGTTCACTAGTTAACTAGTGGACAGATCAATGTCCACTAGTTAACTAGTTAAAACACATTTAGTTTTTACTAGTCAACTAGTAAGGTACAAAAACTCGTACTAGCTGACTACTGAATGTAAAAATCCCACTTGTTAACTTTGCCCAATTTGGCCAGCCGCTTGAGCATTAATTCTGATATCTTGTCAACAGGTCAACTAGTTAACTAGTGAGGGTCAAACTGTACACGCTAGTTAACTAGTGAACACATTTTGACCTTCACTAGTTAACTAGTTGACACAAAAATGGCTCATTAGTTAACTAGTAAAGGCCAAAATGCATACCAGTCAGCTAGTTGAAGGTATTTGTGTCTCACTAGTTAACTAGTCAGGGTGAAAATGAGCCCACCAGTTAACTAGTGGGAGACGGAAATGTTCACTAGTTAACTAGTGAACACATTTTGGCTTCACTAGTTAACTAGGTGACACAAAATGGCTCACTAGTTAACTAGTAAAGGCCAAAATTCATACCAGTCAGCTAGTTGAAGGTTTTTGTGTCTCACTAGTTAACTAGTGATGGCCAAAATGTGCACACCAGTTAACTAGTGACAGAAGAAATGCCCACTAGTTGACTAGTGAACACATTTTGGCTTCCTAGTTAACTAGGTGACACAAAAATGGCTCACTAGTTAACTAGTAAGGGCTAAAATGCATACCAGTCAGCTAGTTGAAGGTTTTTGTGTCTCACTAGTTAACTAGTGACAGTTCAAAGTGTCCACATGTTCACTAGTGAAGGCAAAACTCCTAACTAGTTAAGTAGTTGGAGTAGGGCAGTGCCACTAGTTAACTAGTGAACCATTAATGACTCACTAGCTAGCTAGTTGATTCTAGCAGGCTCACTAGTTACCTAGTTGATGCATCCATTGTCCAAACTAGTTAACTAGTGAGGACATAAATGTATACTAGTAAACTAGTTCAAGCCTACATTCACACTAGCTAGCTAGTTGCACAGAATTCTAATTAGGAGGCAGAGAATTTCTCAAATTGAGGCTTTCTATTGGCTCACTATGTTAAAATAAAATATGACAACCAATCACAGTGCGGAATTTTGCAAAATCCCACCCCAAACATTTGCATGCGGCACACAAGTTAACATGCTGGCCAGAGGAACCTCAGCTAGTAAACTAGTAGTGGCTTCAGTGTGACACTTACATGTAAACTTGTGAAGGCGGAACTTCTCACTAGTTAACTAGAGAGGGTACAAATGTCCACTAGTTAACTAGTGAGGTGCAAAATAAGTGTCACTAGTTCACTAGTGGGCCCCAAAACGCCCACAAGTTAACTAGTAAGGTGCGGATATGCTCACTAGTTAACTAGTGAGGTGCAGATTTGCTCACTAGTTAACTAGTGCACCATTAAGCGCCCACTAGTTAACTAGTAAGGTGCAAAAAAGCATCACTAGTTAACTAGTAAGGTGCAGATATGCTCACTAGTTAACTAGTGGGCCCCAAAACGCCAACTAGTTAACTAGTAGGGTGCGGATTTGCTCACTAGTTAACTAGTGAGGCGCAGATATGCTCACTAGTTAACTAGTGACGTGCGGATTTGCTTACTAGTTAACTAGTGAGGCGCAGATATGCTCACTAGTTAACTAGTGAGGTGCGGATTTGCTCACTAGTTAACTAGTGAGGTGCGGATTTGCTCACTAGTTAACTAGTGAGGTGCAGATTTGCTCACTAGTTAACTAGTGAGGTGCGGATTTGCTCACTAGTTAACTAGTGAGGTGCGGATTTGCTCACTAGTTAACTAGTGAGGTGCAGATATGCTCACTAGTTAACTAGTGAGCATATCTGCACCTCACTAGTACCTCACTAGTTAACTAGTGAGCATATCTGCACCTCACTAGTTAACTAGTGAGGTGCGGATTTGCTCACTAGTTAACTAGTTGCATCTAAAAACACATACAAGCTGACCATTTTTGTCCACTAGTTAACTAGTGGAACAATTGAAATTTCACCAGTTTACATTTGTGGCAGTGCAGCAGCTCACTAGTTAACTAGTGCCTGAAACACAAATTATGCATATTCTAATGAGAAGGCGGGCAGAAGACTCCTGTTGGGTATAAGAATCCCACCCAGTCTAAAACGTATGTGCTGTGGCCTCACAATCTGATGGGTGTCCCTGAGCGCCAAGGCTTGCACTCATTAGTCATGGTTTGACACCTACTGGTTGGTCGTTGCGGCGGGTTCGAATCCCGCAGATGGCATTCCGCAATTGCTGTAACATTATTTATTTTCTCTTTGTGTTGTAATGTTCAAAGTTTTATTGTTTTACTGCTTTTATTCCCCCCTCCCAAATCAAGTAAAGCACCTCGTTTGGTGTCGTGTAAGGGAGATCAGTTGGCGAGTTCAAGTCCCATTGAGGAGAATTGGAATTTAGTGTGCCAGTAATTTTATTGTAGTTAATTTTTGTTTGGTATTGAAAGTTTGGTATTGAAAAAGGCTATATTAAAAATAATTATTGATATATATATATATATATATATATATATATATATATATATATATATATATATATATATATATATATATATATATATATATATATCTCCATCCATCCATCCATCCATCTTCCCAAGAAATAGATCAAATGACACTCAGGGAAAAAACTGTGGTTATTTTGGAGAGGGTGCTGGCTGCAAAACCACAAAGGCGGAGCTGCACCCCGCCCATTCACGCAAACTCAGCCTAGCCCACTGACTTACGTTTTTGTTTTCAACTTTATCGCAAACTGACCTGACCCACATGAATTACGGCTGTTACTAGTTTACAGTCGTTAATGCTATGTTCTATACTCCAATTAAACAAGATAAATATAACTTGCTACATGACAAAGACTGAATATATCTCGAAATGAAAAGGTTTCTTTTAGCGAATATCTGCCTACAGCTGGTCTAATAAAAGTGGTGTACAACAGCACTTCAGTTTATTGAACGGCCTCTGGTAGTCTAATGGTAAAATCGTCTGAGTTGGTTTTTGCTTTCCCCTCAGCTGATGCTGGTTCGATTCTCGGTGGGGTCATCAGCAGTCTATTTAACCACATTCAATTTGTTTATATTTTAGTTGTAATGTTTCTTTTCAGCAAAATATTTATGTCGCTAAAAGTTCTTTGAATTTGGTCGTTCCTAAACAGCATTTTAGTTGAAACTCTGCTCACAAATGGACTCACACTGGCTAAATAAACGAATAAATAAATAAATAAACACATTATATGTTAAACGGTATACCAGTAAATTGTTGTAAACATAGTACTGGCAAGTGTAGCTAGAAATGAAGAAAAGAGGTTGTAAACTACCTAAAACTTACACTACTGGGAGGCAAACAGCATGTCAACCTGACTCCATAACCACTACACCACCACATCTGTTATAAATCAAGTGGCGTTACATGTAATTGTGCTGCCCAGTGTGTCTCTGAGATGGGATGTATGGTTTATTGGCGGTGTCTCAGTAGTAGTCATTTCAGAAATAATTTGTCAGAAAATTCACAGAATATCCAGATTTGAGAACCAAGACCAGACCCGCTTCGGGGGAGGAGACCAAATTGAAGCTGAGATGGGAGGAAAATGCATGAATGAGGCTAAAAATGGCTTTGGCGTGTTTCTTATGAGGAAATGACAATATAACATGATTAAAAGTTCCAAAAGTTAGATTTTTAATTATATGGAACCTTTACAAAAACTGTTCAATTAACTTCTCAACTCCGTCCTCAATCTCGCATTTTTTAGCTACAACACCCTCTTTGGTTCCAGAATGCTATCAAGTCTGACAACTGGAAGGAATTGGACTGACTCTAATGGAATGGGCGGGGCTGATTCTGGAATGGGCGGGGCTGACTCTGGTGCAGCTCCACCTTCTGGTGCAGCTCCGCCTTTGTGGTTCTGCAGCAAGCACCACTTGTTATTTTGAGCTAGTACCAGAAGACAGTGTAACCTTTTTTAGTTCTCTCCAGTCAAAACAAAACTTTAGACTTTTTTCTTTTTTAAATTTAACAGGGAACAGCAATCAATTGAACAGGGAACTGCAACCAGTAGTCA